GGATGAAGCCGGGGTTGGTAAATTCGCAGATGTGCCGTTATTTACGATCGGGTCACCTAACCCTTGTAATGCCAACATAACGACTTGGCCGCTATGTATTATTACCGGTTATTATTATACACATAAGGCGGCGTAGAGCGGCACTTCTTAGTCGGCCCGGCAGGAGATTTATGTTGGTAGCAGGTCGTCTTAAGTGCGCTACGTTCCCCCCTGATTTGTCCCTCTGGGATGTGGAATGTCATTTTCCTTCGGCCTTTCCTTTCCCATAACTCGAGCCAAGGAAAACTCGACCGACGCTCGGACGGCAGTGTTAAATGATTTCTAATAACTCTTCTATGTAGCCCCATAAGGACGGTGAATCAGCTATTAATCACTATAAAGTAACAAATACCATAGCAATTAAACGCATTTGCATAGTACTAACTCCTTTAAGAACATCTCACCTAAAATAATGGCTTGTGGTTATGTTGAGTGCAAAGGATAAATACTTACAATTGATCAACAACTGTTATCTAAAATAATGTATTGTAGAAACATATAGAACTACGCTATGGTACATATTTTACCATTTATTAGTAGATCATAATTCATAATCTACTGATGTTTACAATAAGACAAGAGTGAAAAGGGCCAAAAACAAAACTGACGGCTAAATATAGATTTACTTAATGGCGATAGTTAAGGCAACGATGTCAACAAATTAAAATTTATACAACACGTTTAAAAAAGAGTTTAGAATTACAATGTGATAAATAGAGAAATCCGAAATAAGTATAATTAACATAATGAAATAAAAATAAAGAATTGCAAAAACGACATGATGAGTATAACATCGAGAAATAAACGTAACGAAAACTATAAATTCTCGTAGAAAAATACACACAACTATCCCCAAAGACCATAATGGATAAATTTAATTCAGAAAAGCAGATAAACTAAAATTATGAGATGAGTATCTATAGACGATATATTCAAAGACCAATCAAGTATTCCAGATCCAGAGAGAGATAAAAATTATAAACATTTTAGAAGAAGTAGAAATGGTAATTAAACAAGCTAAAAATAGAAAATCAGTAAGTTATAAAACGAAATTTACGCAGTTTTAAAAAATTTTGAATGAAATAGAAATTAAGCCAATTCCTCACCACACTTACACAGTCCAAAAATAGGCTGAAAGTAGATTTAGTGTGGCACTATAATACTTATAACTTTTCAATAATATGTAGTTAACCTATTTTTTACTTAAAAAACCCCAAAATAAAAATAAAACTGACCGTAATAAATTTCTAGTTTGCTTCGTATCAGCGAATTAATAGTTAACAGGTTTCTGAAAATTTTATTTTTTATTTTTTATTACGATATTGTATATTGGTAACAACAGCAACAAATCACCAGGAAACACAGATTAGCAAACCACGATTAGGGTTGATCGTCCCTAATAGACGATCCGGCTATATGTATAAATTATAATTAGTTATCATAATTTGTTTTTAAATCTTTTAATAAGTCAACAATTGTAGTTTTTTAAGTTTCTAAACGTTTTATGGGAAAATGTAGAATAAAATGTGGCTCGAGATATTATATTACCATAACGGTATGGATCTATCAACGATGGTTTAAATATGGAACAAAATAAAACGGATGTTACATTTATAGCTAATTTTTTTTTATTGTGACATAATGCACTTACTTTATGTGATGATAAATGTAAGAGTGTGTTTCGTTTGCCTTCTGCTTTTAAAATAATTTCTTACGCCAAAATATTCACATTAATATTAGTTGTATACTTGTGTGAGTATCTGCGAGATAGTATGTGCTCGTTCTCGTATAACTTTTGCACAGTCTAATTCCTTAATTACGCTATACGGCCGGAAGCCCTCTAGAGATTAAAACTGTTTTCGTTGCTTGTATTCACAACCTACACTCGGGTGTACATACAGTGTTTGTGTGTGAGTGTTTGAGAAATTCAAAAGAAAACATAATATCAAGTTGAGACCGTTACAATGTGTAGAGAACGAACAGAAAACGAGTCCTGGTGAATACTTCATAGAGTTTCCGTTTTGGATATTAATTTATAAACTGAATTCCTTTAGGTGACGATAAGTATCGAAATATAAGGAGAGCCGCTTAGAAAGGTCGCGGGACACCCTCGGATGCTGTGGTTTCTTGGTTCACTGGACTTGATAAAGGTCTCGGGCCGCACTTCGTTACAGCTGTATGAGTTTCCAGTGTAATCAGCATTTTGGTGACCACAAGCACCGTGGGTCCAGGGAATAACGGCTGCTTGAACCTCTCAAAAACGGTCTTTAATTACAAATGCGAGAACATACTGGACGCCCGTGAAGATGGGAGTGGTAAGGGTGATCAATAGATTTCGACCCATAAACTTTAGTCGATCCTAGTACTTAGCAACCCGCCTGCGTCTTGAAGGTTATGAAAATTAATCCTTTGACTTTCATGTAAGGCAAAAACATTACTATACAACGTATAATAAAGGATTAACCTGTCTGAAATACGGCGTATTAGAGTTGTTCACCTCTGGATGATAAATATTATAAAAAACGAGTAGAAAAAAAAAAATTGCAAGATTGTTATACCATAATATAATGTATTTAGTTAGGTACTCGTCAAACATTTTTATGTATAGCATTTTAATCCGTACTAGCTGAAGCTGAAGTTTTAGTATCCGCTCATTGCTAAACGATAACCGTTATAGTTAAATATTTATATAATGATTTTAAAAAAACATGGAAAACCAACTGATGTTGTATTAAAGTTACCTTACGGAGATTAATTTACAGCTTCAATAATTATATAGATAATTAAAGGATGTATAAAATTGCGATGTTGTCAGGCCCTTCGTTCAGTGCACATTGGTTTTAAAATATTAATTGTTGAATATAATGTTATGTAATAATTGATAAATAAAAAAATGAGTATTGTAAATAATTCTATTTTACACCAATTAGTCGCCATATAAGTTTGTTTAATACAATTATAATATAGCGAAACGGGGTCTATATTACAATTTAAGCAATAGAGAATATGTTACGCGAGAATAAGTTATTACCCCTAAGGGCGACAAGCACGATAAACTAATATATATTGGGAATGTGTGGCAGTTAGGTTTTATTGATGTGCTTGGCTTTTGTATGGTGTAACGTTCCTTTTTTTGCTTTGGTTTCCTGTTCTTTACCCATCGTACTATAGAACACCACAGCCGGTTAGATAAATCCAATTTTTATAAAGATTACAAAACATTTAACCTGTTTTTCTACAAACAGACTTATTTCTCGAGCGATGCCATAAATTTCACGGTCGGCTTCGCTCTGCGCCCATTTCGAAAGACGCGTGTAAAGGGGCGAAGATTTCTTCGAAACATCCGTCCGATTCCGGGAGAATGAACAAAAAACACTTTGGTTGAACTCAGAAAAAGGATGTAAGAGTAAAAAGTTTTGAGTATTGCATAACATGTAGTATATACATTTTGTTCATTTGGTTGTACGTAAGCAACGTTTATTTCAAGATATTTTGAAAACGTTGTTTAAAAAACACAATTATTAATATGTATTATACTGAAATATTTCCATAATATAATACGTCGTAATGGTTCGTGTATTAACATTTTATAATGTACACGTACCGTTCAAAATCACTTTAGCGAAAACAAAGTGGTATTGGTTTTACCTTAGTGTTTTTTTGTGTCTCTAAGCCATATACAATAAAATATAATTTTTTTCAATTTCATTTTTCGTATTTGAACATTTTTTAAAGAACTATACTGTTATTTAACACGTTTCTGAACGTTTTCACTGGTAGTTTTTGAACCTTAAAAACGTCCCCCATAAAGCAAAAAATAACACATTTATATTGGTCAATTGTAATTTATTAGCTTTTTAATCTTCTGCTTATAGTATAACTTTTAAGTCGCATATTAATTATGGTTATATCTTAAGCAAGTGCGCAGTTGGTCAATAGAAGTTATAGTTTCTCTATTCTCGCTTTTAACTCTTATTGCTTCTTTATCACTGTCAATCTTACACTTAAACTGGTTTAAAAGTTCTTATTATTCATTTACTATCTATTAACTTTTACCGTTAAGTATAAATTGTAAAATTACACAATTTATACTCGTTGCTTTTACTTTCTTCTTATTGTTAAAATTTAATACTTATATAGTCAAATAATTTAATTATCTAATTACTTTCGTTTTACACTAATTTGATTTGTAAGGTGTGATGGGAAAATCAGCCAAACCACTATTTAAAACTTATTATAAACAGTAAACGACATGTATGTCGTGATTAATGGCATACAAAAAATGCTGTACTAAACAAATTTATCATTAGTTAAAAGTACAACGAGAAAATTTTTAGTGTTAACTTGTGCGCTGTAAATTGGTTTGAGAATAATTTTAATTTTATAATTAAAAATAATAAAAAAATTTAAATATTTTAATTTTTCACTCTCAAGACGATTTTAAAGTCAGTAATTGCAATATAGTTTCGATACATTGATAAAGATGTATGCTTATGACTATAGCAAAAACTACAATAGTGGTGTAACATTTTTATGGCTAACACAGTTTATCGTTTTCAACTTTTATATAAAATAGCCGTATTTATGTCTTATAATTTATACCTTCAATGTTGCATATTTAAATTTATAAACAAAAAAATGTTAAAATGTTATTCATGCCTAAATAACCTTTTTCATACATTAGTTACAATAATAATTCCAAATAAGTCACAGTAATGACAATGACGTTAACTTAAAACATGTACCGCTATCTAGTTACCGTTTTGTGTAGTCAGTAAGCTACTGGCCGGCTCACAGATGCTACACGTTCTTAGAGAATTATTATTGATGTAAGAACAACTTTCACCAAGTTCAACCAAGAGGTGGCGCTTTTCCAAAAGTTTAAAATAGTAGTGTGCGTTTTTACCGCTAGATGGCCGTTACTATAGTAAAATAATGAAATTATATTAAATAATAACTACCTGTTTGTTAACTGGAGGAAGTACCAGCTTTCTTTGCTTCGCCCATGATACATCTGGTGGTTTGGCAGCTGGACGTTTGGACGGCGGCAACCTTGATGGCATGTCCAGAATATGTCTGATTGTGTGTTTGGACTTAGGCTTCATCATAATTGTATTAAATTTCGAACGTTCTCTTGATATCTATAAAACATCATTAAATTTGAACTGTTAGATTACTATTTGAATAATTTTCATAAAATTATACAATATACTTATGTGCAATTATTTGTATAAAGCATTTTGTCATTTATTTTGGTTATTTAAAAATTTGCCATTTCTAATCAGGTAACGTAGATATTTCACAAATCCATTTATACAAAAATTTCACTTTTCATTTGTTATAATGCTTCAGTGCCCATTGTAGCAAAACTTTACTGAATATGATTGGGCCGCTAATTCATATGATAGAAATAAAACATATATTACAATTATTTATACAATTTATATGGTCTTTAATATTTTTTTTTTCAAACACATGTTCACATAATGAAATGAAAAAGACAATTTTGTTAAGAGTGGTAGTTAGTACTGTATTTCGTTCTTGGACAGTCGTAATGTATGGTTGCCAAAATTAAGTATTATTTATTAAAAAATGTATGTTTCATCTATAGCCTATCATATCAAGTTAGTGATGTGTATCATATGTAAACAAACTTTTGTAATTTTCTCTGTAAAAACAGTATAACTCATAAGTTTGTATTATATAATTATTTTTTTATAATTTGCACAACTAACTAGTTTAAAAAAACTAACTTACTAATTTTGAGGAATGACATATAGAATAAAGTAAAATACAGATAACCTAACGGTAAAGAAACGTATGTGTTTTGATTACACAAATTCTCTTCGATTAAACATCAGTTTACAATTAAATTGTACATTAAAATTCCGTGAATTGAAATTGCTTTTTCGTGATACAGATAAATAATAGGCAAGTTATTTTATTGTTTTCATTTTTTTTATCTTTATTCTGTACAGAATTTTACATACGAAATTTTGCTATATTTTATTCCCGTGCGGAAAAATGGACAAACGCAATGAGCTTTAATTGGGCGATATCCTAGGCGAGAAAAATGTTTACACGCAATTTATGAAACATGTCATCGAGCCACTATAGTAAGTTTATAAACTGAGAAATTTGTTTTTAGTCCAAGCCTAAAATATTTTTTTATGACTAGACAGTTTTAATGCATACAATCTATAGATAAAAAATAATAAATCGAAGATCAATTAGGCCAAAGTGGAAATATGTCACGCCTTCCTCTCCAAAATCGATGAAATTACTTCGCCTAAAATTTTTAATGTAGTTCTAAGGTGAATTTTATATTATGTATGTTATTTACCATTTATTTTTAAAAAGTCAATCCCTAAGACATATTATTAAATAAACAACACAGAAGAATCAACAATTATGTATGAAATTTTTGATGCTGCTATCCTGCAAACTTGTCATTTTGTACATAGAATTTTTTAATTTTTTAAATAAAACAATTGTTTCATAATCAAAAATGTACTGATTAATGATATTTAAAAGTTTTGAACCGGGTTTTATGAAGAAAAACGTTCGTTTAAGTAGCAGTACATTTCATTTTTCTTTAGCAAAACTGCATATTGTTATTTAAAACATATATAGAACTAATATTTTTTTTTTTCAATGAAATGTTGTATGGTTAATATTAAATAATAATTATAATCACGGTAAATTTTTTTATAAAACATAATAATATCAACATTCATTTTTTAAAATAACTCCATTTTTCCGTGTTCACTTAATAAGAATACTGAATATTATATCGATCGGTGTGGTATTTGTGCGTCGTTAAAATATTAAGTAGTTACATTTTCTTCCTTATCGATTATTCATACATATAGCTTATACAGAAACTACTCAAACCTCAAATTCTCGAAATAACTCATTACGAGAAATAAGTATAGAACTTTCTATTGATTGAATGTACTTTATGAATTTATGCGAAAAGCATCGCTTTAATTTATTTTGCCATTAAAGAACACATACCGTATGAATTCGACGAAAGGGATTACTTTCTTTACATAAGCAAACAATATTTCCGTTTAAAGCGTGTACACATGCGCGAGTCAACAAACGATACGGCGAATATTGAATAACCCGAGTCAATAGGGGAAAATATAAAACGAGACAAAAGACCGTTAAGTGTACTTATATACTAATCTTTGTCAAGAAAACCAACTATATTATACCAAAATAGTGTTGCACTGTAGGTACAATTTGCTAGCACGGTTGCACGTATACAGTTTTAAGGGTTTCATGAGATAAATTGACTGGACGGTAATACGATGGTTATCGGTGAGAGGGTTTCGTGTGGTCTTTTCACGGTTCAGTTGGAAATAAACAACTCTTAGGTACCTGGAAGTCCATTTTTTACGGTGTACAATTTAACCTATTTCATTTTACGGCATCTCCAGCATATAATTTTTCTACGAATACCGGAAAGCGTGTTTACTCAATTTTGTTTTCAAAGTATAATTACAAGTATAATTGGATATTTCATTTGTAAGCCAACTGAAGTATAGTAATTAGTAATAAATATAAAACGATAAATTTGTGTGTAATATATTAATAAAAAGTAATCTAAATTGAAAATAATGTATGATGTTTAATTCATATCCGTTTTAGTTATCATTTTCCTTTTTTTTTATATAAAAAGTAAAATTAAAAAAAAATTAACGCTTCAACATAATACTTTATATACTAATAAGTTACTAACCAATTCACAGTCTACTAATTGAAAGGCAATCAATTCATTATAAAGCACTTTCCAGAAGATTGATGCAGAGTTATCTTTATATGTTTCACAATTAATCACAATTTAACAATTTAAAGATTTTTTATAAATATTCAAAATTGCAACAAATTTTATAAAAAAAAAAATAATTTTTACCTAACGGCTAACCTAACCATTAACTATTTTCCCCGAAAACCGAGCTTTTGCTCAACATTGCACATTATAAGATTTGTACATTGGTAGACCCTACCATTCGTTGGGAAACTAATAATTTTCAACAAGATTCCTCTCATGGACTTACAAAATTCTAAATTTTACAACATCAGATTTGGTAAATATATCGGTAAAACATACACCTTCAGTACTCAAAGACATTCTTGACATTGTAAACTATCATTTTTAGTATTTTTTTTTTTAAATATTGTAAATTAATTAATTTTGTTAATCAATATATTTTTGTTTATTTTGTTTACCTCTATTAAATATATTATTACTACATAAAGCGTACTGTTGTATATGCTACCGGCATCAAATATTAAATTTAATCATTAAATGTATATAATGATCATATGTCAAAACAGCGTACGAGGAGAATGATATCACAAATCCTTGTGTGTAATACTTGGCAGAACAAACACACGTCTCTATGGCGAAATTGTTAATATTTCTTTCGCATAAAATAACTAATATCTGGTTGTATTATAATATTAAATTGGTCATTATTCAATTTGAAAGATATTTCAATCAACTATGGCTTAAAACCATTCCAGCTTTTTACCGTTTTACATCGCTAATGTAAGTATAATTTATTCAATCGTAGGAATATATTTAGAATTGTGTTAAATATTGCAAACATAGGTAAGAGTAGTTGGAAGCAACTGTGTTGTAATCACCGCAGAAAAAATCGATCAATCACACAAGTCTTGCGTGTGTACGTTGGACGGTAAAATTTCAGTCGCTTGGCCCGGTAATGTTATTATATATAATAAAAAAACAATTTGTTATTATAGTAACAGGCTTACCATTATAAAGTAGTTGTGTACCCATCGGGTGAACACGGAAACAAAAATTAGTGCTTTATAATAATTTACAACTAAGAATGTCATTAAATACCATTATCATACTTTCTATCAACATATAATATAAAAATGAAGACATATATTTTATATAAATTTAAGCATTAAGAGTTTTAATGAATGTATGTTATGTACTTATTACTATGTGTTTATTAATTTAAAAGTTTTAGTTATACATAAGGCCTATTATATTTTATACGATTAAGTATTTATCTTTTAAAATTGTTTATATAATATACATCTGTACTTTGTTTCTACACAAGACAACTCACTTATTTTACCTTTTGGCAAATTAAATAAAAGGTTTTTTTCTTTGTCTCAAATTTATGGAAACTGATTATCTTCGATACGTAGGTGAGATGGTATTGTTTTGACAATGATACACTTTTTTTATGTGTCTAAAGTTATGATAACTTTTTTCCTGTGGACCAATTTATTCGAGTAGCATCTCTAATGATCCGTAATCGCATCCGATTAGTATTTTAATGGGTCAGACGTAGAAAAGTTTACTCCTTTCCCTACAAAATTTATAAAAACACCAAAAACGTTACATAACATTTTTCAATTTTAAATTATAGGACGCTACACTTTTTTAACAATAATTGAATTAGTTCTAAATTTGTATAGAATATACTTTAGCTAATATATAATCGATATACTTCAAAAAATCTAAAAAAAAATTTTTAACTTTTTCTTCATTTCTTTTTTCTAGCAAACTTTTAGGACTTTAGGCTTGGAAATTAGACTGAAGAAAAATCTAGTCCCCAATATGCTCCATCGACACTTTGCCCTACCCAATGTCCTGGCTATTTTCATTTAGTTTCAAACATTATTAGGAGTATTCTTATTTATGATCTAAATTATTTTTGCCAACAATTTATACTTTAGAACTGTTATACCAATAGTACATGGTAAAATGTCAGTTGAATATTTGTTTATATTTCAGGAATTCATCAAGAAGCTTTAATAATTGTTGATAAAGCTAAAATGTACACTAACAATGAACCCGGTTTCAATACTTCAGCGAATCGTATTGCTGAATTTCTTGTCGGTAATACCTATTCATATTGTTATGTCTAATATTATGTTCGTTTTACTTAATAATAATTATCTAGTTAAGAAATGGCGTATTTCGGCAACAATGTTGTCATCGGAAATATGTAAGGTTTCAGCTCTCGTCAAATGAATTGTTGAATACATATTTAAGTTTATTATTTTATATTAAAATGCTATCAACCTTATCCTTAATATATACGTTATTTTCGATCGTAATTTTAATAATAATTATAGAACTCTCAAT